AGAGAGAGAGAGAGAGAGAGAGAGAGAGAGAGAGAGAGAGAGAGAGAGAGAGAGAGAGAGAGAGATTCTACATTAAGCCCCTGGATATCTGATTGACATGTTTACCGCATTGATGTTCTTTTTTTCTTTTTTCCCCGATCTGTGCGGGCGTATTCGCACATTGGCTTTTCTTGTTTATATTTTTTTTTTAGGAGTCTACGTACACTTAAAAAAAGTCTTGTCTTCTTTCTTTGGTGGCTATAGGTCGAATCATTCGAGTTCCGAAGATATGGCGACGAGCAGAGGAAGAAGAAAGGATTACCGTGGTCGTCGTCCTCTGGTTCTCTTGCTTGTGGTGTTCTTGGCTATGGCGGTCTGTAAGGAGCAAGCTGAAGCTAACGATGGCGATGGCGACCAACAAGCAGCGACGACAGTGGCGAAGGGATTGTTGCAAGCAGATAGTCAGCATGCAGTGAATGGAGAAAGAGAAGGAGGAGGAGGAGGAGGAGGAGGAGGAGGAGGAAGAAGCGGCCATAGCCATGAAGCAGCGGAAGCTGGTGGCGGCGATGGCGGACAAGGAGCGACCAGTGTAGCGAAGGGATTGTTGCAAGAAGATAGTCAGCAGAGAGTGAATGGAGAAGGAGGAGGAGGAGTAGGAGGAGTGGGAGGAGGAGGAGGGGGAGGAGGAGGAGGAGGAGGAGGAAGCGGCCATAGCCATGAAGCAGCGGAAGCTGTTGGCGGCGATGGCGGAAAAGGAGCGACGAGTGTAGCGAAAGGATTGTTGCAAGAAGATAGTCAGCAGAGAGTGAATGGAGAAGGAGAAGGAGGAGGAGGAGGAGAACCTGGAAGCGGCTATGGCAATCATCATCGCCGTAGCAAACGACGTCGACCTGCAATTCGAAATGGCCGAGTCTTGAGGAGAGATAACGATGAACTCTGGTTCCGATCACTACTTGAAAATGCGCATTTCCCTATTTACCTTCTACCGAATCGCTTCTCCCACGTGGAGACAGAAGACAAGGGGGTTTATTACTGGATTAATGTTCAATTAAGGGAGGGGGTTGGAGGGGATGACGGCTGTGAGGTGTATCTTCCAAGTCTTAATGCCGCCATTCGCTACGAGACAAAAATCGCATTCACACTGGACGACAATATCATCTCCTCCGTGGAAGGCATATCCATCGTTCGCTTTAAGAACTCTTCTCTGTCATCACCTCCACCACCTCAACCACCACAAGCACAACAAGCACAACAAGCACAAAAAGCACAACAAGCACAACAAGCACAAGAAGCACAACAAGCACAAGGAGGACAGCTGCAACAACAAGAAGAAGTACAGCAGGTACAAGGAGGGCATCAAGAAGGAGGACAAGTGAAAGAAGGACAAGGGCATGAAGGAGGAGGACAGCTGCAACAACAAGAAGAAGTACAGCAGGTACAAGGAGTGCGACAAATGCAAGAAGGAGGGCATCAAGAAGGAGGACAAGTGAAAGAAGGACAAGAAGAGGAGAAGCAGAAGGAAGAAGGAGGAGGTCGACGGCAAGAAGGACATGAGAGTGGACATGGAAGGAAGGTGTTGCTGGAGGAGATGATGAAGACGACGATAGAGAAGATGGGAGGAGGAGGTGGTGGTGGTAAACAGCAGCAAGTAGGTGAGAGCACGAAAGGGAGGAGGAGGAGGAGGGTATTGCTAGAGGAGACGAAGAAGGAGGTCGAGAATCCACCACCTACTACTACTACTACTACTACTACACCTCTCCTGGTCAACAAGAACACCACCTCCTCCTCGTCCTCGTCCTCCTCCTCCTCCTCCTCCTCCTTATCGTCATCGAACACTTCTTCTTCTTCTTCGTCTTCTTCTTCTTCTTCGTCGTCGTCGTCTTCTAGTTCGTTGGCATCGAATTTTTCGTCTAGTGGTGATCATTCTGCTTCTAAATTGATTTCTCCTGATGCATCGAAAAGGGTTTTTGTCGTTAATGACGTGGAGCAGATTGATGAGATAGTAATCACGTTATGGTATCACACAGTGGGTTTTCTCACAGGACAGGGCGAGCTGGCGGTGGAGTTCAAACGCGATTTTTTCAAGGAGCCCACGAACTGCGCGCCGTTCACCTGGACGAAAAAGCGTCCAGGTGCACAGTAAAAGTAGTTATAATTATCGTCGGGCCATGGAGGCGGAATGGCGTTCTAGCCATATTGTTTCTTTTGTCGCGCGTGATGTCTTCTACTGTTTTTTTTTTTTTTTTTTTTTCCCCGTTGACCTCGGTCTATTCGGGAAGACGGGGGGGGGGGGGGGGGGGGNACTTTGTTTTTTTTTTCCTTCTTTTTTTTTTCCTGCATTTGTCTCGTTTTCATTTGTTTTCTTTTTTTTTTTATGGCCTATACTGCGTCTGTGCATTGTTTCCACACGCACGGTATAAACCAAGGGGACAGACTACATTTCATTTGTGATTTTCCTTGGGCCCAATGACTTCTTCCTCCATAGCACTACCGGGCCTTCTCCGAAGCCCGGAAAACCCGTAGCGTTAACGCTAAGGGGCTGCGGCCGATGTATGGGCCAAGTACTGGTGGTTTAAGCACAACGCCAGTAACTTCTCCCACCAACCGGTCGATGTGATAAAGTCCCCATACCCCTACCCTATAGTAGGGTACCCTACTCCAGTGTGCTTGTTGTCAATGCCGGAACAGCACAATACTGCTCCCCCCAATGTCCAATCAAAGGATGTATGTCGTTGGGGGTCTCATGGCAAGACTCCCAGGTAAGACTACCAGCAACTGTGCGAGCTGCTGCAAGTTTATGTGCCGGCAGAAAAACCCTTTTGGTGTTCAAGCGTCTGATAAATTTCACTCATAGGAATTGCAAGATAAATGCTTTATGAAGAGATGATTTGCTGCACAGACAGGCAGGCAGGCAGGCAGCCAGCCAACCAACTAGCCACAGACGGACAGACTGACAAGAGATGGTTTGCTGCACAGACAGACAGACAGGCAGGCAGGCAGGCAGGCAGGCAGGCAGGCAGCCAGCCAGCCAGCCAGCCAGCCAGCCAGCCAGCCAGCCAGCCACAGACAGATGGACAGACACACAGACAGACCGACCTAATCTTCAGAGAGAGAGAGAGAAGGGAGGGAAGGGGGGGGAAAAGGGGGGGGCAACACGTGCTGAGAACCGGGCTCAGCGTCCCGTATCACCCTTCATCAATGATATATATATAATCATATATAATCATATATAATCAATATACAATAATATTTATATTGCAATTGAGTCTCGGTGAAACTCCGACGAAACAGTTTGTCACAGCCCCTCGTTTGTTGTCCTCTTCTCCCTCTCTGCCTACGGTTTACCGGGCAGTTCTATTTGACGATATATATTTTTTTAATCAACGGGTACAATTACCGCTTGGGGGAATGTGGCCGTTAGTCATCGCAGTACAAGTACCGATCTCTCCATACGACTTCTTTAAATAATAATAATAATAATAATAAATAAATAAAATAAAATAAAATAAAATAAATGAAATGAAATAAAATAAAAATTACCCCTTGGATATCTCTCCATACGATTTCCTTTAATATAAAATGGAATAAATAAAATAAAATAAAAAGTACCCCTTCGATCGGATGCGTCCATGCAGCACTTAGCTGTCTGTTAAAAATAAAATAAAATAAAATAAAATAAAATAATTACCCAGTCGATCAGATGCGTCTGTGCAGCTTTTAGCTATGTTTGTGCAAGTGCTGTAACGTTTTAAGCCAGGCGAAGTTGCCGTTTTTTTTTGTTTTTTTTTAAAAGTATATATGTATATATTTTTAAAGATAAACCATCAAGCTGGGAATCCTCCCATTGGATCAGCCGGGCCCTGTCCGTGAGGTTTGCTCCAGTCATGTGAGTGACGCTGGGCCCATTTCCCAGCATTGTAAATATAATTCGTTTGGAGGAAAAAAAAAGGAAAAGAGCGTTTTTCGTTGGAATGCATGGAGCTCATCAATGGATGCTTATCAATGGAAAACACGTTTTTCACGAAATTTTCGGTGGAATGCATGGATGCTCATCATTGAATAGATTGAATCTTTGTGAAATTGAATCGTTGTGCTCTCTCTCTCTCTCTCTCTCTCTCTCTCTCTCTCTCTCTCTCTCTCTCTCTGTGTGTTTTGAACATCATAAGGGCAGGGTGGCTGCTGGTGTAAGTGTCTCTGTGATGGGATGCAAGTCTCTGAGTCTGTTCTGCGGTCTCAGATTTCCTGCATTATTTTTTATTTTTTACTTTTGAAGAAAAAATAGATAAACAATTCCTTTTGTGCTGGAAACTGGGTCCAGCGTCCCTCACATTTATATGTAGGCCGCAGGTTGGGCGAAGCACTTCCAGCCAAGTCCATCCCTTTTTTTTTTTTCTTTTTTTTTTTTCCCGGCCAAGTCCATCCTAACCAGCGTCAGGAAAGTCCCATTGTGAATGGTTCGACAAGCGAAAGATTTCCTGCAATTTCTGAAAAACACTGATATCTTGATCTCTTTTCAACCAACAGGACCAAAAAAGAAGAGAGCAAGAAATCAAGAGGACCGAAAAAAAAAAAGAAAAAAAAAGAAATAAAAAAGGGAAAAAAAAGATCAAGAGAACAGTGTTTTCTCCCAGCGTCCCTCACATGAATAGGTATGACCGACAGGGATAAGCCTGGCTCACCAGCCAGGCATAACCCCTACCAACCATAGCAAAAAGCTCACCGCAATGTCTTTGTTAAACCCAAAGACTGCAACTGGTCAAGTATACATTATTCCGCGAGTGATGTCTTTGTTAACCCGGCCGGCGTACCCATATGCCGGAAACACCTGTGTGACTGTCTGACGAAAAAAAAAAAAAAAATCTCCCCCCCGTCACAATCCTGCAATGAATAGCTCCAACCCTTCCGCGCGTCCACCATCACATCCGAAACCTTTTTTTTTTTTTTTTTTTTTTGAAACCTAAATATTAATGCGAACCTAAGCATTGTAAACAGAGAAGAAACCCTAATCAAACTCTCAATACTCCACTCACGCAATCCTCCCAAGCCAATCACCAACCCTAACCACACCCAACGAAAAACCAAACCAAACCCCAGCCATACGATTTCCCAACTAAACCCTAAACCCTAATCGTCACAAATAACAATGAAAAAAACAAACAACCTCACCGGTATTGGAAGGTCATCAACTATTTTTAACCCTAATGATTGCAAAACCCGACAATAGAGTAAAGCAGCAGATATGATCCCGGCTAGCTGGGGTCAGATCGCATTGGGTACCCTTTAAAAAAAAAAAAAAAAAAAGGAAGAAAAGGTCGCAAGAAGCAGGAATCTTAGCGACATTAATCAACGGCCATCGCAGCTTGAACCCCTTTGTCAATGATGGTGGGCGATACTGGTCACGAAGTCAATTGACGCTTTCCCGAAACCGGCGCTCTTCGATGCACACGTGATTCTGATCTCCCTATGTCGGGACTTGTCTCCGTATCAAAGCCAGGGGGGGGCAAAGCCCCCGATAGGTTCCATATATATATATATACGGTGTTCACATCCTGCCCTTTGGACCACCACACATCTCCCTCATTCCACTCGTGGTCTCTCTAGGAATGCCAACAAACGCACTGACATGCTTCTGCCATGCCCTGGCCCCAACTGAGCAACATTTGTCTCACGGGCACATTGAAAATTACATTTTTTTTTAGATTATTATTATTTTTTTGGGTCTGGACGGGCAAGTGGTCCCGGGCTAGTCTGGCAGCCTAGATCTTTATTTTTTTTATTTTTTTTATTTTTTTTTGGGAAAGGTGTAAAACTTTGTGGGGCGCTAGCCCCAGTTGGCAGCAGGTATTGCTACCCCCACCCGTAGGAGGGAGTCTCGGCAGTGCAGCAGTATATCTCAAACACGGGGCATCTCCCAGAATCAAATTTGATTTTTTTTTTTTGTTATTGAAACAAAAGAGATATGAGATTTCACGTGGGGAACTTTTTTTTTTAGTAAGGGGCCTGTCGTTCATTTTTTTTCAAAATTTTGAGTTGCAATTGAATGGTATAATCTGGCATTGTCCTTTCTCGAGTTTTGTATAATCTGGCATTGTCCTTTCTTGAGCTCACCAGGGTCATAGCACTAGCAACTACCGCTTTCCCCCTAACACCCCTAACACAATGCACCCTTGTTATGTCTGTATCGGGCCGGAAAGATGACTTGTACATACATTCATTATCAGGGTGCAGTATGTTCGTGGGTGGAAGACGGGAGTAATAAGGCTTTTTTCTTTTGTCATTTCGCCAGGAAATGCGCACGTCCGAGTTAACCGTCGGGCAGGTTTACGCAAGCGCATGCCAGTGGCACAGTCGCCCTGCCGATCAGACGAACGGAAAACAACTTTCGCAGGCGTCGTGAATCCCTGACTACTCGAGCCCCGGATGTCCAGGATGGACATCTGACATCTGGGCGAACGTGCATCCGCGGGTCCCCACGGGCGTCCCAGTAGCATGCATTTAATTGGGGGAAACTACACGGGAGTCAAAAAAATGAGTTATAATTGCACTTCGGGCCAAGATACAGTTTCAAACTGCAGTTCGGGCAATGTATACAACCCAGCTTTCTGGCCAGGTACGGTGCCCAAAGTGCAGTTGCAGACTGTATCTAGCCCCATAACGCAATTACAACTCGTTTCTCTACTGAATGTACCCCTCTTTTCATTCAATTTAATTCAACTTTCGCCACCACTCCCCCCCCCCCCCCCCCCCCCCCCCCCCCCCCCCCCCCCCCCCCCCTTCCCCCCCCCCCCCCCCCCCCTGACGTTGAGAAATTGGCTTTCCAGGCCCTTCGGAGGCCCGTAGGCCCCGATCGAAGCAGAGGCCGGCAGCAATTCAAGTGGAGATCGGAAGCACAAAAAATGGAAGGGATGCTGGACCCGGTGTCCGGCATATAATGGAATGATTAAATAACTAAAAAAAAAAGAAGTAAAATTGAGATCCAGTATATTAGGTCTAGAATCTTTCCAGGAAACAAAATTGAAAAAAATTGACAGGGAAAGAAGTCAGCGAGAGCCGATTTGGAGCATTTCTCGTCTTCCCACTGGCTCGGGCCAAAGGAAAAAGACTCGAAAAGTACTCCCAACTTCAGTGATTTTTCCCGCGCAGAAGAAAACACATAGAGAAAACT